CGCTTCCGGAGTTCTGGCCCTGCTGGTGGACCTCCTGATGGCACCTGGGTTTTGGCCACTGTGTGACACAGAGTGCTAGACTGGGCTGGCCATTGGCCAGATCCAACATGGCCTCTCTTGTGTTCTTAACTCTCTCAGCCCCACCTACCTCACAAGGTGCCTGTTGTGGGGAGAGGAAGGGAAGGAGACTGTAAACTGCCTTGAGACTCCTTAAGACAGAGAAAAGAGGAGTATAAAAAAAACCCTTCTCCTTCTCCAGGTGTCTATGGGAACCACACTGGGAATCCCTAGGGTTTATAGATTAGCAGGCCTTGGGTATATTGATTTCTGTTCACATACACACATCACTTACACATTACCTCACGGCATGCTTTGCGGAGGCTTCGGGGTTGACTGATTGGGGTTCCCTTTCTGAAGCGTGCCACTGAGACACCTTTGTGCCTCTTCTTCCCCTCAGCCCTCTATACGAACGATATTGCCGGGACCACTTCTCTGACGGACACTGCGATGGAGGCTGCGACACGGCCCTCTGCGGCTGGGATGGGGGAGACTGCTGGTCCGCCTCCACAGAGGGTCCAGGGTTGGGCCTGGTTGTCCTGCTACCCCAAGAGGGACTGCGCCAGTCCCTGCGTTCCCTGGCTGTCGCTCTGCGTGGGGCGCTAGGGCTTCAACGGGACCTTCAGGGCAGAGAGAGAATTTACCCCTACACGGGAAAAGAAGAGCTTGGAAGCAGCAGCAATTGGACGGGGACTGAGGAGAAAGCCGCTGGGGAGACCATTGGGTAAGAGAGAGACCCTTGCTCTGTATGGCAGTTTGTCTGCCCTGCATCATCATTGCCAGAGGCACGTGCCCTTGGGTGTGAGCCAAAGGGCTCTTGGCTCATAGCCTAGAGCTCACAGCCTTGGCCCTATGTATGGCAGCAAGCATCACCAACCAGGAACAGCCCATGATATCTTTATTTTGTTTGTTTCTATGGCCTTTTATTGTATATGTGGAAATCTGGTTGGTTTGGGTATCTTTTTGTGAGCCACTTTGGGTCTCTGTGGGGAGAAAGGTAGCATTCAGATGGTATAAATGAATTGTCCTGACTGACGCACTTCAGCGCAAGCATTCAGAAACTCTTCACCTCCTCACACACTTTTTTAGTTCAAGCACTCTACCAGATGTGAAGCCATAACCTTCTCTTAAGGGTTCTTCGTAGGACTGCTGCCTTTTTAAAGGGCTGGTATTATGTGATTTGAACAGGTGCACTATATGTAGAAAATTCGACAGCTGACTCAGGGAGAGCCTGCATGATATAGTGGTTAGAGGGCTGGATTAGGATTTGTGAGACCCAGGTTCGAATCCCTGTTCTGCCATGGAAGCTCGCTGGGGGACCTTGGGCCAGTCACGTACTCTCTGCCCAACCTACCTCATAGGGTTGTTGGGAAAATATAAATGGAGGAGTGGTTCATTTATTTATTTATTTTATTCAATTTATATCCCGCCCTACTCCGCCAGAGGGCTCTGGGTGGCTTACAACATTGATAAGGCGATAAATAACAATTTGACAATAAAGAACGATTCATAAAACCATCAACAATTCCAGTTAAAAAATTTCTGATCGGAGGTGGCAGGAAAAACATGGACAGCTGCTGCCCACGAGAAGAAGACAATATTGACTTTGCTAGAACAGTGTTCAGACTCCATATAAGCCAGCTACATGGTTCATTTATTTATTTATTTTATTCAATTTATATCCCGCCCTACCCCGCAAGAGGGCTCTGGGTGGCTTACAACATTGATAAGGCGATAAATAACAATTTGACAATAAAGAACAATTCATAAAAGCGTCAACAATTCCAGTTAAAAAATTTCTGATAGCAACACAACACTAGCTATTGTGCCTGGCACAATAGTGTCTGGGGGGGGGCACTCTCTTAAGAAACCAAAGTCAGCCGACGCTGATGCCAAGTTGGTATCGGCAGTGCCCTCAGGCAGGTCAGGCAAATTGAACAGATTGAGCAAGCTGCACCGGGAAGGCTGGTGTCGCTTGGGCATCCACTGCCTCAGCCAAAGACCTGGCAGAACAGCTCCATTTTGCAGGCCCCGCGGAACTGTAATAAATCCCACAGGGCCCCTAATCCAGGCCTTTTGGCAACCCTAATATCAGCATAGGTCTGATCCTTTCTCAGAGTTTTGGATATAGAGGGGCAATTGCTGCATTTTCCCCAAATCGCAACGTTTGTTTAATATTTAGAGCAGGGTGGTCTGGTTCCTGCTATGGCCTGTGTGCCTTTCATAGGGTTGCCACCTGAAGGTGGCACCTGGAGATATCCTACTATTACAGCTGGTCTCCAGATGACCAAGATCAGTTCTGCTGAAGAAAATGGCCGCTTTGGAGGGTGGACTCTATGGCACTGTACCCTGCTGAGGTCCCTCCCCTCCCCAGGTGGCACCTGGAGATATCCTACTATTACAGCTGGTCTCCAGATGACCAAGATCAGTTCTGCTGAAGAAAATGGCCGCTTTGGAGGGTGGACTCTATGGCACTGTACCCTGCTGA